ACTACCTTCCATTTCGTTCGGAGAGGCGAGTGGAAAGGATTCGTAATTTAGCTTCACCAGAAGCTGTAGGGAGCTTGTAGATTTGCGAGAATATGTCCTTGGTGCACCGCTCTGTAACAATGAAGAATCCTTGCTAAGATTTTGTCCATTATGCGACGGACATTGTCAGAACAGGACCCTATGCTTTACGATAATGCACCAAGCAAAAATACACGAAGGTTAAGTGGACATAGTTAGACTAAAAGAAGTAGGTCGGATTGCAAACGACCACCTTTCTTGCCGCAAGAGCATTGCATGCACACAACACACGTGCAATGAAGCATAATCACATGCAGCAACATTGCAGGATCAAAAATATAGTTGCTAAGTCACAAATAAATCCGTTTCATGCTTCATTAGCAGCCACTTCACTTTTTAACGGCATGTAAGAAAAGCATAGCATGTCAAACCAAATCATGAGATGTCTCACTAAGTAGAACTATCCAAAGTATGAAAAGTAGATAAGATTGTAGCCGGCCAGCTTACGTATCTTTGTGCCTGGTGAAATATCGTAAAGCATGGTGCTCTGCTCTGACGATGTTCGTGACATGACGGAATAAAGCTCAGCAAAGTGCGTCAAGGAACTAAAGTCACAGCTCTAAGGCAATCCCTCTGCAGCTCCCGGCGAGACCAACTTACGAATCCCTTCCACTCGTCTCTTAAAACGAAAGGTACTTCAGCATCTTATTTTGTCTAATTTGTATGTTAGTTGAAGACGAAGCTTCCAAACTTTTATATCAATCAAAAAAAAAATATTTTTCGACTACTACGATTTATTAAACCTAGACTGAAATAAAGAAAAATAAAATAAAGAGGATTACCAAAGACCTATAGAATAAGAAAAGAATATTATTACTAATTTGACTTTTAGTTGAAATCAACATTTAAAAAAATCACGTCTTCATTATTTTCATTATTTATTTCATATTTGAGGGCAAGATAAGCAGAGTTTATTTTTAACTAGACTACATGTTTTTCTCAAGATAACTATTTTGATTAAAGCCAGCTAGAATTAGAGCTAGAGTTAAACAAGTGGTTAAGGAAACACCTCTCTCCCTTGGTCCCTTGCAAATTGATTGGTGATAAAAGTTTGGGTTTGAAAGTAAAACCTGATTCTTAGATCCATGACCGACTAGGTGAATCGTATTAAGGACATTCTTTGGAACTATTGGATATATGGATTGTTAAAGTAATAGTTGCAATGGATTCCTCTGCGTTTAATCTAAATGAAATAAGAACCAGTAAAATAATGTTTTGAAGCTAATATACCGAGAAATTACATCATTACACGCATGTTTGCAAAGGTAAGTCGCCCTATAACAGAGGGATTGAAATGGGTTATTCATATGATGATAGCAAGAATAAAAGTAACAAATTTATATCCAGTCTAGGCTAGAAGATCCTTTTCTCTAAGATAAGTAAAGCAAATTTTTAATATAGTTTAACGTCTATCTATACCACTAGTAGTTCCTCCAAGTAATCGCTTATACATAAAAGCAATAAATATGTATGTACACATGGTGATAAAACCAGAATCTTCTTTAAATGGTAAAATTCCAGCATTCAGTGCAATCATATGTAGCAATCAATGATAAAGACTAGCTATAATTAAAGGTGTTATTATTACACGCTTAAACATTGATGGGTAAAGTTGAAGAAAAATATTTTTTCAGATCTTTTGTATAAGCATTCTATACGACTCAAAATACTCATTATTTTAAACTAATTAATTACTATAGATGAGTAAACAAGCATACTACTATGTAGGATCTACTAATTTTACGTTCATTTATGCTAATCATCATATTTTTTAGATTACAAATATTGCATTTATAATAATACTTTGCAGATTAGTGCACAAACTAAATAGGAAGACAGAAAGACCATTTTGAATGGAAAAGTTAATTAATGCAGTTGCATTTGGCAAAATCCTCGATCACTAACTAAATCGCATTAATGTACAAATTTACTTTCATCTTCATCAATTTTTTTTATGTAAAATTATCTTAATTTATGTGTCGTTTCTTGAGAATGATCCTAATGATTTCGCTGTGACAATTTAGATTTATATAAAAAATCCGCCGTGCCTGGTCTTTATGTTCAAGTTTAAATACTGTCAAAAATGCAACTAGGGCTAACTTTTTTGAAGCATAAATTCAGACGATTTTATTGTGGACAAGCTTATAAGGAAGTTTCTCTGGCATCATTAAATGTTTTTTGTCAATGATCAACTTGTTGCGAACATGAATCAAATGTACATTACAATATAAGAAAATAGGTGGCAATGCGTCGTAGTGAAAGTGTCCATGGTCTTTAGAGAAAGAAATAGATAACAAGGACCCTACTGATGCTTAATGAAAGTGTTTCACAAAATTGAGCCAGAGTTTCAAATAAAACAATAATCTCAGGGCAAGATAGACTGCTCATCACCATAACGGATAGATAAATTTAGATATGCATAATTTAATAAAGTAGTTAAATACAATGAATGAATTATTAATTAATCAAGGCTGACCATGAAAGTGCCTTGCCATTGTCTTTTCTCCTTTCCTTTCACTTCCAGTTTCTGTATTTTCACCATCTTTCTTCAGCTGCCCCTGCTCAACCTTGTTCAGACATTCCTTTGTTTTCGCATTCGTCACATCAGCGCCAAGTAACATATTTTCAGCGAATGCGTTGTGATGTTTTATGGGTGAAGTAGTGGTGACCATAGAAGATGGCGTCCTAGATACGGCAGTAGGTGCAGAAGGAGAGGCGGTCGAGTCGATTCCACTTCGTAGGAGACAGGAGGCTGTCCGGATGAGGTCTGGTTGCCCAGTCGCTTGAATGAAAGATATATGGCTTGGCGGCAACTCAGTCCGATGCGAAGCTGGTTTCATACGTCGCTCTTCGGATCTGATGCAGTGTATGCGAACATTTATTAGTGAACACATGTGTAAGGAAAGACTCGTGTATAAATAACTTAATCGTATTTTATGGTTGGAGAGAGGAAGTCTAACCCACTTTTCAAATAACTTAGTGCATGTGGGCAAGCAAGCAGTATTCAAATATAAGTGAAAGAAGACATTGTGCTCATTTGCGTTTGAAACCTTCTCAATTGCGAGTATGTAGCGACGAATGCAAATGCACTTACTCGTAAGGAATTAATGAGTGTTCTACGATCAAAACTAGAAAGCAAACTTCGTACAAAGGAAGAAAGCATTGTTCACTAAAAAGTAACGGATTTTAATGGCTTCTTTGGAATCGGACGTGGGATTGGAATAACCAACTAATGCTAAATCGGAAAAAAAGTAATGATAGTGGTTTCATTAAATCTATTATCTAAGTACGAATCATG